CCAGGCAGTGAGTGGATGTTGATAGCTAAATCGTTACTGATGCAACCTTGGTATTAGCCGGCCAGTGTAGAATATCAAGGCAATCGCAGGCGCTGTTACGCCATTTCATCGCCAGTCGTGTCGTGGGTAGCCAATCTTGGTAAGAAGACCTTGGCGTCCCAGATCGTCGTTGTGGCAGCGCAGAAGGTGACCAGGAGTACAAGCGAATTCGGTCTCTAGCAAGAAGATCTTTGGTGTTCCTGTAGATAGCCATAATCAGTAGTCCTACACTGAATTCGCCTAAATTTGATGGCATCTTTTTCTCAATGTACAATATTTCCAGTGCGTCTCGAAGCTTGATCTCACATTGCTTGCCATAAGTCTGCTGCTGCAGAGTCGGATTCTCCCAGATGTCTTCAGGAGCGGGAAGGTTTACTTGCATATCATTAAGCTGCATCAGAGGCGTGACCTGAAATTCGTAGGCGCATATTGTGTCCAGAACCTACTTAAGTCAGCTGGAGATCAGGTTATCAGAAACAATCACATACCCAGATCATAGCCCCAGTTCGAGATTTTGATTCTTGCTCCAGCCACTGATTAATTTTTGTATCCCGATCACGAGTATTCGACTGTGGAAAGCCCTCGCAACTGGGATTGTATGCCAATAAGTCAAAGCTGCGACATGCCTCCACAAGGTAATGGCGTTCGACAAGAGCGCGCTCGACCAACGCCTGCTTCCCGGAGTGAAGCATGCAAGAGATGTTCAGAATCCCAGCCTGCAAGATTGGCAGGCAAGGCGAGGAAAGTCTATTGTGGCGGCCGCCAGGCATGTAGTCGAGGTCTTCGTCAATCACAGTACCTTCTTGTGTGAGGCCGTATTTGCAGCGAGTAAGAATTAGACCGACCAAACGAAGAAGAGCATCGGTTTGTACTGCGGGTTGCAGGTCCTGACAAAATTTCGAGCCAACCACTGTCACGGCTAGGAGTAGTACCCAGCTAGAGGACATATCTTTCGTGAACGAAGAACGACGCAAAAACGGAAAAGCAGGGTGGAATTTAGCAAAGTATTGTCGTACACAGATTTGAAACTGCTCAGGCGTAGGAAGACAGGTGGTATCCAATTCCTCGAGGCAAGTGCGGGCCTCCATAGTGATGCCCCGAATGAGAGAGTCGTAAGTAGATAGTGGACAACTTGGACCTTGCATCAGGGTTACGTTGGGTTCTGCAGAAGCATCTCCTTCCGCATCCTGCACTTGCTCAGTATGGTCGCAAGAGGCTGCATCAATATGCCTGCCACCAAAGGGAGCTCTTGCGCCAGATCCATCTACGTAGTATCGATTCTGAGAAGATAAAGTGGACTTGCCGGAGTCACTAACACTGAATTCTGGATTTGCGTTCATGGGTATGTCCTCAGGCAGTGGGGAGGGCTGTCCTGTAGAGACTGTCCTAGGTAAGGCAATACCTGGCGGACGTGGGAAAGAGCCGGGATTGTCATCGACACCAAATGGCGCAAGGAGGGCGTCCATATGGATAGTGTTCTGACTTTGGGGAGAGAGCCAGTTGATGTCTGATAGACCCATGCCAGGTAGGCCAAAGAAACTTCCGTTCATGTCCATTGGAGCCGTGGGCTCAGTCCAGGTCCAGCTATTAAGGGACGTGTCGACGACATGGGGCGTGGCAGTATCAACAACGCAGGCCCCGGACTCATCCTGGCCGGTATCAAAGCTGCTCGCATTGTCTGGTGCGCCAGTTTCTGAAAGCCCACGTTGAGGTGAACGGACTGCCGGGTACTGACAGCGAAAGCCACGGTGCGAGCACCGGCGACATGGTTGCTCGCGCGAACATCGCACGCGGTCTGACGCACATCGGACGCATGCTCGCGACCCCACGCGGATGGCCCCGGGCAGGGTTTGCTCTTCGTGGGCAGTCTTATGGCGGTTGAGGACGTCCAGGCGAGAGAAGGATTTGTGACACCAAGGACAGGGGAAAGGCTTCTCACGTGTGTGAATCCTCATGTGGCGCGTGAGATGCTCCTGTCTGCCAAAAGTACGGCTACAACACGGGCAATCCACTGTCGCTCCTCGTCCGCCATCCATGACATTCTTAAGCGCAGACAACAGGCATAGACAAGCATCGAAACTCGCGAATCGCGAAGAAGTGTTAGGTCAGTGGATGCGGGAGTCGTGACGAGTCCGAGTGCAACTTGCTCACGGCATCGCTCGGCGCCGTCACGTGCACCCTCTCGAATCTCCACACACACAGTTGCTAACAACAAGATTGGATGCACTTGGATGCAACAGATACGAAAATTAAGATGATCGATTTTTTCTGGCGACTGGTCAAGATTGACCAAGATCGACTTACGTCCGCATCAGGTACGCTCGAACACAGGCATGCGCTCTAGTGGACTATCTACTTGGACCGTTGCACCACCTTCCCACTTCTCTTCTCCCCAGAATGATTTCCATTTCTGTCCACTTGGTAGCGGTGGAAAGTACACGCTAGTTTGTCGCTGGCCAGACTCGAGGATAGGGCAGACGAGGTACTTGTCGCCATACATATACTGCTCTTCAACCTCCCAACTGCGAGCGTCCTCGGGAAACTCATAGAAGAGAGCCCTCATCACGGGTGAACCCTTGGTATGAGCTTCCTCCATGAGCTTTCTCGTGTACTCACGCAATTTCTCGCGCACCTCCATGTATTCCTTGCACACATCATACACCGCTGGGCCATAGGACCAAACTTCATTGTCCGCGCCGCTGCGACACCCTGGGCTGTCCGCCGTCTTGGGCTGTCGTGGCTCTCGATCGCCGTGTAGTCTCATCACAGGGCAGAAAGTTCCCCATTGAAACCAACGGACAAAAAGTTCCCGGAATTTCTCGTCGTTGGGATCACCTCCATGGAAACCGCCGATGTCAGTTGTCCACCAGGGTAGACCAGAAAGCCCCATGTTCAGGCCAGCAGCCAGTTGGTTTCGGAAGCTGGACCATGATGAAGCAATGTCACCACTCCAGACTAGTGCCCCATAGCGCTGGCTACCCGCCCATGCGCATCTGACAAGATTGACAATGTTCTCTTGTCCTTCTTTGGCCATACCCTCGTAGAATGCACGGGAATACTCTCTAGGGAAGATGTTGCCTATCCGTTGAGTTAGATCATTCCATATCCCATATCTATTCGGGATCCGCTTACCAATAGCAATGTTCGGGCCCAGGTGGTAGCGATAATGATCAAAATCATAGTGCCGATACTCTGGCTCAGCCTCATCAAGCCAAAATACTTTGATACCCTTTGCGTAGTAGTTTTGCTTGGACTTATTCCACACATACTCACGAGAAGCTGGATTCGTGGGATCGAAGTGTATGGTTTGTCCTTGAAAGGTCATGGCCGTCCGCACACCACGCTCCGTTCGGATCAGCAGACCTTTCTCGACCATCTCATCGTAGTTTTCTGACCTTCGATCTACGGTTGGCCAAATGGAAACCATAAGTTCGATATTCAACTCTTTCAGTTCCTTCACCATGGCGTCTATTTAAAGTAGGTAAGCGATTGTTCTAAACACTCACGAACCATCACTTACCAGGGTCTGGCCAGTATTTCAAGTCAAACTTCCAGTCGCCTTGCTGGGTCCAATGAAAAAAATCAATGACTATAAGATCTATTGGCAACTTTCGACGCCTGTATTCTCGTGCAACTTGGAGAAGCTCGTCCTGGGTCTGATAACGAAGCTTGCATTGCCAGAATCCCAGACCATATTCTGGCATCATCGGCACCTGAAGAGATGGATCTTTTAGTGTTGAATCCCTTGACTCACGTAAGATTACTTACTGTACCGGTAGCCTGTGCATATGACTCGACTATTTGCGCTGGGGAACTACCTGCTACGACCCAGTAATCGAGCGCTTTTGTGGATAAAGCCTCAAAGCTCATGACATTCTTTCCAAATATGGCAGTGCCAATAGAGGGATTGTTCCATAGCAGACCATAACCGCGCGAGGAAACGGCAAATGGTACACTAGCTTGCGAGTTGCGGTGGGCAAGCTCAAGCTGGGTGCCTTTGATGTCAAGAAACGGCTGTTGATATTGCCCCATACCATAGATTTTCTCCTTTGGGTCGAGACTCTCGAACCTGGCGGTAAGGTGATAGTCTCCACCGATGATAGGCTTGAACTCGCGAGCTTCCACTTCAAGTGCGCTACACTTTGGATCGACAATGTCTCGTCTATGACGAGCGTACTCTTCTAGGAGTACTTTTCCGCTAGTATTGTCCGTGATTGTCAATTTTCCCAATTTTGTCATGATGGCCTTGAGTGTGCCATTGATGAGGATGGCGTGGCCATCATTGATAGTTATGTTTGCATTTGATCCAGGCTGTGGTAAAAGAGCCCAGTCTTCGCTCGGCATGACGGCCATTTTTGTGGCGCGAATGCGCACTGCATTCTTTCCCCAAGGCTCTATCCATAACTGTTCAGAGTCGTAAGCAAAGACCAGACGATTCTCTTCGCGATTGAACATGGCGAATCCAATGTAGGTGGGGAGTTGGTGACGTTGAAGCAAATGAAAGTGCCGGTCGATTGTCTTGGTTCAACTCTTTGAGAATTCAATACTTGACAGCCTTAGGTATGCAAGGAACAAGAGACTTTAACACACCATGCAACGTCATCGACTTGACTTCTCGTGATTCCTCCGGCCAGGTCTCCTGGTGGTGAGAATCGCGGGGCTTGATGTTCCCCCGCGGATTTCGCCTGGCATTCAACCGACCCCCATCGGGATCTCCACCGGAATCCCCACACTGAGTGGGAGCAACCCCGCGTGCACCCGCGCACTACACTCGTACACAACATCGACTTGGGTAGCGGGCATTCTCCCTCATTCGAAGATGGTACACTCGAGCCATGGAATGACATGGTTCCACAGCCATAGCTACGCAATTGCCAAGATGAAAATAAATTGACTCCAGGGGAACTGAAAGGGGTTTGTGTTGTTCCTGAATAAGCAGGAGCTGACGATTGCTCGTAATCACGGTCACTGATGGCCTTTCTTCACGGAGCATTAGCCGCATGTTGGTGGCAATAGCCGTACGTTGATGATCATCCTGCTCAATGAGAGCATACATAAAGGCCATTGGCCTGGCCCACGAAATGGAGTATGCATCAAGGTTTCGTAGGTTTTCAAAGCCGAGATCATGAAGACAACTCTTTTTTCCTCCTTCCTGCTCGCAGGCGCCAGTCAAGTCCACGCTCTGACTATAAGACAAACAGCAGGCACAGGAGCCACTGTCGACTTGGCCAGGTCGACCGGCCCAGCCGCATTCCAACAAGCAGGCTGGATTTATGGATTTCCTGATAACGGGACTGACGCTGACACATCTATTCCGGAAAACTTCATCAGAGATCTAAAGTTCATCGGCAGTCGTGCTGGTGGTGCTCAGACCCCGACCCGTGGCTGGATTGATGGCTACGAATCATATGTTCCTCGCCTGGAATCTACCATATCCAACTATCGCACCACACGGAAGTATGGCGGTTACTTTGTTCTCCTAGTCCACGACATGTGGGGTGCCGATGGCAGCAGCATACCCCTGTTTCCAGGAGACAATGGCAACTGGACTGAGACGGACAACTTTTTGGCGCAGGTTGTCAAGGACCTCCAAGAATTCAATTTGCTTGATAACTTGGTCATCGACATCTGGAATGAGCCCGACATCACCCCATTCTGGAACCGCTCATTTGAACAATATCTAGAATACTACGTTCGCGCACATAAGTTTTTCAAGTAAGATCCTTCCATCATCGTCTTGCCAAAAACCTTACTAATGAATCTCGTGACAGGCAAGCATTGCCGCAGACCCAAATCAGCGGCCCGTCCATGGCTGCGGCACCAAGTCTGAGGGACACTAAATGGCAATCGTGGCTTCGAAGTGTCGCTGGGAATGACACAGTCCCTGACATTTACTCATGGCACCAGATTGGGACCGGCTCCCGCCAGCCCGACACCACTGTTCCAGATTTCAACACTCTGAAAGCTGTACACAGCCTGCCCGATCTGCCCATCGACGTGAACGAGTACGCAGCCAAGGACGAGCAAAATCCTGGTACTTCAGTATACTACATCGCACAACTTGAACGACACAACATCCGTGGACTTCGTGCAAACTGGGGTTCGACAACGGCATTACATGATGGCCTGGCCGACCTGGTTGTGAAAGATGCATCTGGAAGCTACTTCCCCAACGGAGAGTGGCAATTGTACAAGTACTACGCATCGATGGAAGGCAATCGTCTTGCAACCACTGCAGCAACGGACCGTCGTTTCGACGTCTTTGCCACCAGATCTGGCAATGGTGTGAAAATTATTGCAGGAACTCGCAACAATCAGGGCCAATATGAGATCCGAGTGTCAGGCCTGGCAGATATTGGTCTACCAGAGTCAGGCACCATCAGCATTCGCACTCTCCGATTCGATTGGGCTGGAGATGCGGGTGAGGTCGGACCACCTCAGGACTTGGGAGCCTCTGATATTACCTACACGGGAGGAGCCGTAAGTGATTGCTGGAAGAACATGATCTATTTTGCAGTGCACATGCTAACTAAGGATGCAGGCCACTATACCTTTCAACCCAGCAACGAGTTCGACCGCGTACGCGTTTGAGATCAATAGAGCTTAAGGAATAACAAGTACCACTCCTTGGCTCGAAATTTGACTATGGAAGGTGGCTAAATTGGCTGCTGTTCACTGCTTGATGAGAGTTTGATTGGGACTTCTGAATATTTTGAGTGTGGGACATCTGGTTGCAACTAGTTCCATTTACCACTATCGCTATAGCATAATACAATACATGTATTTCAGTGGAAATATTGTGGTCGCTGACCTTCGTGCCCAGATTTGTGTTCTGTTCCAATAATTTTCATTGTATGATGGTGCATCCTTACTAGACTTACGCGGTCACTTTATTCACTACACACTCTCGCCGCACTAGTCTCCGCCACAATGCTCCTATTGAGATGTAGTCGGTACTTAACAAAAATTACAACAACTTTCCTGACGCAAGGACTTCCATGATCAGTGGCTTTGGAACAGCCATCTAGATAAGCGATAGTGGGTCATATAGATGGTCGAAATCTCGCGCTAGGTTCTCTCTACACAGCGTGTGGATAGATTGACTAACGGTGAGCTCAAATTGCCAATTCATATCACGTAAGTTTTGTTAAGAGACTGGAATACTTCGGATCTAAACCAAGATGATATCCTCTCCAAGCGTCCTGACCGGCAACGCAGAAATCAACGCCTCAGGCGTCCGAAGCTTCATCATCTCTGCCTCCGTAATCCACATATTCATACGTCCGATTCTCTCCCAACGCCCCTCCTCATCAGCTCGACGTAGAACAAGAAAACGAGCAATACCATCGTACACAAAAGGAATCATACTTGTCAACACCAGAACGATCCTGAGATGTCCACTCCTGTAATCGTTCACTAACTGCCTCTCGATGATGGGAACAGATAAGTGCACACTGACAACCTTATCATCCAATCTACGCCATTCTCCGGGGTACTTAGGGTGCTTCAGATTCATGTGTCGCAACACAAGAGGCTTCCTGATGGTAAGTTGCCATGGTTTTTCTGGGTCACCAATTGTGTGCACTGATGTCCAGCCTGCGAGCGTTGTAGCACTGCTTCCGTCTGGTTCATGTAGAATCATTTCTGCCGACCAAGCATAATCCATTGAGCTGACCCACGTCTTGCTAGTGAGCGCCTTGAAGAAGTCGCTGTGATTTGGATCAGTGGCTGCTGTCTCGAAGCCGCAGCCTCCTTGGCCTGTAAAGTTCACTCCAGGACCTGGCTGCTTAACCATGAAACCCATATTCTTATTGGCCGAGTTTGCATGTGACGTCTTTGTCTGCTTCTCGTTGCAGAATTCGACCGTGCCTTGCCATCCTGCCCAACTCCAAGATGGAAATTGAGGCCGCCTTGTACAATCTCCGATGACTATTCCGGGTTCATGACTACGCGATGTATCAATATGAGTCCAGCTTGAAAGGGACAGCGCGAAGGTATGTTGAAGTCCAGGTTTGTCGTTGGCACATGCGCCTGCCCAAATCGGCAGACCAAGGAGTAAACACAGGCCATCGTCCGTGATGTACGTGTTAGCAACTCCCGTGAACGCGCGGAGAGTATCACCTGGGTCTGTAAGATTTCGGCAAGTGAATGCTTGGATGTGTCCGTCTAGTGTGACGACTTGATCGTCGACATTATCAAGCTTTGGTTGTTGAAAGCCGTATTGTAGTTCTGATTCATCGTGCAGGTCGTCATCGAAGATGCCGGACAGCATGAAGTCAGCCATGCGAGCGCCGGAAGGCTCATGAACATGGCCAAGTGCAAGATCCACGCTCTCGCACACAACCATTCCCCGACACTCCCAATATACTTGTTCTTCCGTAAATACCAAACGGCGATTCGAAAGAACCCCTTCCTGATACGTCCAGCCACGCGTGGCCCATGTTGATTGCTTGATTGCCAATCTTGGCTCCTGCATCGTGGAGACCAGAGTGAGTGTACCGTGCGTCTTGTTTGGGGGCAGTGATCTCCGTGGTTTCGATGAGGGCGTTAGAGGCTTCTGTTCGATGGGCATATCAGAAATCTCGGCAGGATCTAGATCCCAACCCTCTGATGCCGCACATTCACGTTTGAAGTACGGAACCAACTCTTTCAAGGGTATGCCTATACGACGTGCTAGCTCAGCCTGCAACTCCAGATACTTCTCAAGATTTTCATGGCCATCGTCTTCTGCCATTTGTCGGAAGAACTCAAGATGGCTCTTTGGTATGTCGTATTTGTCTCTCAACTTTTGATCCTCCAGCAATACTTCAAAGTCGAAATCCATCTTGCCAACAAGGCCAAATCGACTGTCATCCAGCCAATGTGTCTCACCAACAGCATCAATGGCATAGTCCTCCCCAGAGACGCCTATGCGCTCCGCAATGGAACCGGACGCAAATTTCGCAGGATTCTTGCCTTTGGACTTGTTGCTTGATTGGCTGAGTTGAACGAAAGGCTGAGACTTGCGCGCTGTCGCCCCCACACCCGATAGCCCTGACCTTGCGTCGCCGGTCGCGCAGACGATTGTGAACTCGGCGCCGGCATATATGGCGTCCATTTTGTTAATCAGTTTCAACTTTTCCTTTGAATTAGACTGATCAATACAAGTCCTATCCACCCATAGGAACCTTTCGCCCATCCGCCTTGTTACCTCGATAGCATCCATTATGGTCTTGGGCCAGTCACCCGATGGAGGTCCCCACACATAGCTTAGTGCAACGTATCGTTGTGACCATGGTCGCTCAACGATATCTGGGGGGAAATTGAGACTTTGACAATCAATGACCTTGAACCCTGGCAGTGTGGTGTCTCCATGCATTCGGCGCGCACAACCAACATGATGACAACGGCAACGACCAAGCCAAGCTCGTAAAAGACCAAAACTGACACGTGACGGAAGTTCCCGGGGTACTATCAGCCTCTGGACGTTGGCTTCCGGAGCCGTTAAACGGTAAAAGGCGCCGCTTTTTGGAAGACCAGTCTCGAACCATCGTACAGGCACTGCAGTTTTCGGTATGGTCGATATCTCGGGGACAAGCGCCATGAATACATTGTGGTCGAGAGACATGGCGCGCACACGCTCCGCAACGGTCTCGAAACGTGTTGCTTCCCATGGTCGACGCGTGAGCTGGCCACGAATATCTTTCCTACGTGGTTCGAAAAGGTAGCTCTCGCTACTACAGAATGCCATAACCTTATATGTGCCTTTTCGAGGTTCGGGTGTCATACGAGCGAAGAAGTTGCATAGCTTGCACAGAGTGGTCCGAGATAACCGATTGCCTAGTGAGGTGACGAAGTGGAAGTCTTTCAGGTAGACGGGGTCACTATCTCTCTTCCGAAATGCCTCAAGTGACCGCTTATTATCACCGCGCCGAGCGTCCTCATATAATTCATGGGCTGCGTTGAAGCTTTGCCCAAGGTCAAGCTTTTTGCATTCAAAGCAAAGCGTGTCTGAGCTTCCCGAATCGGGGGAGTCTTGCCAGGGTGGCTCGCATCTGAACGTGAAAGAGAAGTCGTTCTTCAATTCTGCCATTGCCATAATTTTGTGCCAAACAGGATAATCATGGAGAAGTCGCACAAGCGTTGAACAAATGTTTTGAGGGAGTGCGATGCATGTCGACCATTCTCAAACTCTACCGGTAGGACTGCCATTGTATTATAGGGAATGTAGAAAGAACGAAGAGCTGAGGTGCGCTGAGTCCATGCCTGCATGATGGTGCGGAAAAGGTAACGATAATAGACATGGGTAGGCGAGCCTGTGTCGTTTGACCACCAACATCAGTGCACTGCCACTGTCGATCTTTTGGCCTGAGGAAGCAATGAAGTGTAACAGGCAACAGAATGATAATCGGTTTGATTGGGCAGAAGACGGTATGCCATCAACTATTGTTGTTCGCCGTGGCTTATATTCTTCGGCGATTCCAAGCTGGCGCCACTTGCAAGCTTGCTCGACGCGCGCGCCTCCATCTTCCGCTCATATCAGACTCGGAGGTCTTTCAGCTGCTCCTAATCCCGACGAAGCATCTGCATGTGTAGACTTGGCTGCTGATACTTGATCAGGCTCCAGCATTTTCTAAGCATTCATTACTATCGCTTGGCCTAGAAGCCAAATTCGGCGAATTCCAGGTCAAGGGGTGCCTGTGTCGACACTCAGAAATGAGGAATTTCACGAAGCTCCTCTGAAGTTGTTGAATAAAAGGCGTACTCATAAGAACTATCTGCCTGATCCGCAGTCGCAGATTTGTGTCAGGCGGCAATGCTGTTTATAGGCCGGTCCGAGTGCTACCGTCGGGATGAGTATCGACTCCGATTGCTTAGGCATAGACTCCCGTTATGATCCATTGAAGACCCTCAGCCAGCATATGAATAAGATTTTGTTTTCCAACGGATGTTGCGCGGGATTGCTCGAGTGCGCTGGTGGTCAACCTAAATATCACCTTCTTCGATACTGCCCGGAATATTGCTTCACGAATTCAAAAATGAAGAGGCAGGGGAACGCAATCATGGAATAAATGTAGTGGGTGGGCAACTCCGGCCCAAGGATTAAGGGGATTTGCTTTTCGACTACGGAAGACACATAGTCGGCAACAATCAAGCTAATCAAGCCTCTAGGTTACCGAGGCTGCGCGCGAAATCGCCGTGTTCGCGTACCAGCCATCCTAATGTAACGACTTAGGTAGGTAGGGCATCCAAAAGGTATCCTATACGACTTAAAGGCATATAGGAGTGCGCGTCTGTATAGAAAAGGATAAGATTCCTACACCTATAGGTCTTGTATAAAAGGATAAGAAGAATATACCTATCCTAACTATAGGCAAGCTATTCTCTATATATATTAGTAAGTTAGGCCTTTATTAGGCCTAACTTAGTATAGAATAATAGGCAGGTAATTCTACCTTAATATTATACTACCCCCTTCTATAGAGAAAGGATAGTCCCTATTCTTAGGATTAGGTTTAGATCCCTTATTAAAGAAAAGCTTTTTACAAAATATATCTACCTTTACCTCTACCTTTACCTTTACTTCTTCTTCCTAAGGTATAGACTCTTATCCCTAGCCTATATATAACTAGCCCTCTACCTACTAACTTTCTTATTTCTATATCCCTAATTTTTTAATTATTTAACCTAATCTATCTAAAATCTAGTAAGTATTTAATCTATATAATTAAGTAGTTACTAATTTAAATTAGAACCTTTAGCTATACTAGTACTAGTACTACTAGAAGTCCTTCCTATTACTTATCGCGCTCTCTATATAAGGGTAGTTAGGGCTCTAGCTAGGGGTAGGTTTAATAATTTTAATTTTAAGTTAAAGAATTCTAAGAAGTGCTAGTACTATATCTCCTAGAATAAGTATTATAATCTAGTAAGTATCTAAGTCTAATAGGGTTCCTTTACTAATCCTAGTAGATTCCTTCTTTTATTAGCTAAGAGTACTTTACCCTTAGGGGTGCTCTAGATAAGTACTATAGCCTAGTAGTAAACCCTGCTAAAGGGGATAAGGATAAGGAAGCTATAGTTGCTTATTAGAAGGATATTAAGTAGTTTAAGGCTACTATTTAAGAAACTACCTAAAACCTAGCTAAGTACGTTACTATTACTAATACTTAGACTAAGGGTATAGAGGCTACTAAAATCCTTATAGCTACCTATTATACTACTATATCTAATTTACGTTAGCTTTAGAATAGTATCTATAAGATAGTCTTAGTAGTTAAGGGCTTAATAAGGGCTATTAAAGAACTTAAGGAGGAATTAGCGCTAAATTAAGAGGTAACTTTCCTAGTCTAGGCTAAGATAAAGGCGTTCCACAAGAAGGAGTCTAAATTAGTCCTAGCTCCTATCCCTACTCCTGCACCTGCTCTAATTCCTGCTGCACTAGTTATCTAGAAGCTAGTAAAAAAGGATAGTCTAGGCGCGATCTTAGCTAATATAGAGTCTAAACTAGGTTCTAATAGAGAGATAGATATAGAATAAAGAGGTTTCCTAGGGGTAGTGTCCTAGGAACCTTTAAGGTTCTAAATAGGATATAATAATAAATAGTAATAAGAATAATAGTAATAGATAGTAGTTAATAAGTAATGCGTAGCTAAATAGGATATAAATTAGTTCTAATATTAGGTATAATTATTGTAAAGTAATATTAGGTCCTCTTTCTCTTTTTCCTAGGCTTAAATCTATTTTAGTAAGCTACGTAGGGGACCTAGCTAATTTAGATACTATTAGTAGAATACCTATAATTTATAGGGAGCACCTATAAAGTTAGAGGCAGGATACTAAATAGGATTAGGATTATGTCTAACCTACTTAACCTTATATTTTAGCTTAGATTAATATAATTTACTAGCTAGGATTTCTTCTACCTCCTATTCCTCTATACCTTGTATAGGAGTACTAGGGGGTTTTAGAGCCTCTTATCTAGGTAATAGGTCTTAGGGATCTTTATATAGTATATTAGGGGACAAAATATTATAGATCTTAGAACTAGGTAGTAATAAGAGGTAATACCTATTTCCTACTTATTCTAATACCTTAAAGGGACCTTCCTATTATTTAGATAGTTTTTAGCTAGGTTATAAAATAGCAAGATTAGTAGTAGATAGATAAATATAGTTACTAACCTTCTAGTTAACTAGATAGTAATAGTAATTAGTAGTAGAGCGTATTTAGTCTTAAGCTCTTTCTATATTTTCTTTAGTAATCTTCTATACATTGTGTATCTAAGTAGTAAGGGATAAGGCGTCCTTATAGTTTAGTTTCTCTAGTATAGTAGATAGGGTCTTTTTTAGTTTCTAATACTAACTTTACTTTAGTAAGGAACTAAAGAGGAGCTAATATAGAGCTATACTAATAGATAAATATAGAAGAGTACTTTAGGCATAGTCTATTATAGGTAGTAACTTACTCTAGTTATCTTAATAATAGGATATAAAAGGCCTTAGTCTCTAATTAATATACTTATTTATAATCTTAGTTTGTCTATTAGTCTATTTATAGTAGGTAGTAGAGAGCTTAACTTTAGTGCCTATAATCTAATAAAACTTAGACTAGAAACTCTTAGATATAAACTAAGGGCCTTAATTAGAAATAATAGTATCTAGAGTGTGTCTAAATTAGTACACCTACTACACGAATAAGGTAGCTATACCTTAGGCGTCTATAGTTTTGTAGCAAGGGATAGTAATAGCTTGCTTTAATAGGCGATTAATAATAACTATAATCTAATTATAACCCTATTAATCCTAGGGAAAATCCTTAAAATTAATGCATAGGTGTTGCATTAGTAGACTAGGGATAGGAAGGGGGTGTAACATGCCTAGGAGTTAGTGTTGTCTTAGATACCCTCTCCTGCACAGGATATAATTCTAAATATAGCGTTTATAGGTAGTCTCTATACCCTTCTAGTAGTAATATTAGGCTAGAATCTAATAGGTTTTAATAGCTAATAGGTAGGTAGTAGACACTTAATTATAAGCCTTACAAATTAGTCTAGTATATAGGACTAATCTAGCAGGTATATAGAGTTAATCCTAGTAGAGAAGAAGTCTATTTTCTATCTAATAGTGCTTAGGCAACTCTAATCTATCTATTAGGAATAAGGACCTATTTTCTTAAAGAAGAGTTTTAATAAGTTCTAGGGATCTAAGAGTTATAGGGTTCTAAACTACTATAATTAAAGTAAGGATTAGTAAGAAACGCTTAGCTAGGTAGTCTTGCGCTAAGTTAGAGTTAATTTAGGGGTATAACCTATCTAGGCTAATTATTACTTATAAGCAATTATCCCTTTAAGTAGTCTTAAGGTTAATTATATCCTATTCCCTTCTACTTAGGATATTAGCTTAGGCGTTATAAGATCTAGGAGTATACTTAATTTAGAAGTTAAAGGGACTTATAACCTCTAGCTATCTAGCTTGCCTAGCACTAAGGACTTTAGTTAATATAAAGTACTCTAGTACTTAGTAGTCTATATATACTCTAATAAGGTGCTAAGTACTTATTAGGTTAGCACGCTATTTCTTAAAGGCGTAGATTATTATAAATAATTCTTTATTATAGATTTCCTAGTTAAGTTTAGAACTAGTAAGGGTCTAACTAAAGAAGGATATAGGGTACTATTTCCTATTAGGATGCTCCTATAAGAGGATAGCTGCAATAACTCTATTAGAGGCGTCTGTCTCTAGTTTTAGAGGGTACTTAGGGTAGAAGTAAGCTAAGCTTAGGATTACTAGCAGGGCATTCCTAAGCTAGTTAAAGGCTTGTTAATATTCTAAAGTCTATATAAATAGGGTAGCAGGGCTCTAGAGAGTAGTTAAGGGCTTAGCTATCTTAGAGAAGTTTTCTATAAATTGCTAGTAGAATCTAGTAAATTCTAGGAAGGACTTTACTCTAGTTATTACCTTAGGAGCGGACTAGTTTTAGAGTACTTTAACTTTGTTAGGATCTACCTTTAAGCCTTTGTTAGTAAGGATATATCTAAGGTAATAGGTATAGGTTATATAGAATTCGCTTTTCTTAATATTAGCCTATAATCTAGCAGAATAAAGACGCTTAAGGACTTTTTAAATATAGTCCTTATAAGTAGCAAGGTCTTTAGAGTAGATAAGAATATTATCTAGATAGGTAATATAAAAGTTATCTATATAATCTATTAGTATATTATTTATATAGCACTAATAGGTTACAGGTCTGTTATATAGCCTAAATAGTAGGACTTTATATTTATAGGCACTATACCTAGTGCGGAAAGTAGTGTACTCCTCTAAGTTAGGGTCTATTTAGATCTTATTAAAGGCAGCACAAAGATATAGCTTTATAAAGATTTTTACTTTAGCTAGCTAGGATAATAGATTATCTATATAGGGTATTAGATACGCGTCCTTTTATATTAAGCTATTAAGCTTATAGTAATCTATATAGATCCTAAGGCCTCTATTTAGCTTCTTAATATATAGGATAGGAGAGGTAAATAGGCTCTAACTAGTCTTAATAAAACCTTTCTATAGGTGCTCTTATATATATTCCTTAGTAGCCTA